AAAAAAAAAAAAAAAAAAAAAAAAAAAGGCGAGTTGAGAAGGGAAGCATGGAGCAGAAACTGTCAGAAAGCTGTCGTCGTACCTCACACAGTCGGAAATTGTCAGAAATTGTCAGAAATTGGCATAAAATGTCAGAAACTGTCAGAACATGGAGCATAAACTGTCTGAAACTGTCAGAACATGGAGGATAAACTGTCTGAAACTGTCAGAAAGTTGTCCCCATAGTACCCCATACCTCACTCAGTCAGAAACTGTCAGAAACTGTCAGAGACCGTGTAAACCTGTCAGAAACTGTCAGGACATGGAGCAGAAACTGTCAGAAGGATGTGGAAAACATGTCGTCGTACCTCACACAGTGCAATGCAATGCATATTGATAATCTTACGTCAGGCACACAGGCACCGGACCTCACTTCATTACTCACCAAAAAGCATTAAACCGTCTATTCTGGGGGGAATTGATCCAGTTGCTTATCACCCCTATCTATTCTTGGGTTTCCCAATTCTCATTGGGTTAGGGATACGCCTTCGCGCCTTCACTCAGCATTGTAGCATGTATTTGCTGAAGGGGTTTTTGGAATTTCAGCTACAGTCTTCGCCCGAATAGAACGGCCGGTAATTATGACTCTGTATCTGAACTGAAAGTTGCCACAAATACAGTGTTTTTTTTTTTTTTTTGGCTAGGGTTCTAGGCTTTTTAGGGTTTCAGGTTTTGAAAGTCAAAGGTTTTCGGGTTTTAGGGTTTAAGGATTTCAGGGTTGCAGTTAGTGGAATGGTGAGGGCTGTAGGTGTTTTGCAGCAATGGGGCTTTTTTTAAACAAAAGTGAGCATTTTTATAAGGGGTATCACCCGCCAAATGCCCCCCGTACTCACCGGAGAGCTCATTTTCGCCCGGTGGGGGGACTGGTGGTTTAATTACGGTTCCTACCCTCTTCACCCAAATACAACGGATGGGGTCATTATAGCTCTTTTTGGGGTATCTTTCTAGTCTAAATAGTAAATACAACATAGTAAATACAACAACAATGACCGTACATTGTATTCGGATGAGGAAGGGGAGGTTTTATGAGGATTTTCGGGTTTCGGGATTCCGTTTTTAATAATTAATTAATCAATTCAATCAGGGAGTGGGGTCATAGAGGTGCATTGCCTTTTCAAGTTAGACCTCGGAAATCTTGAAAGTTCGCACTAGCTTTTCACTCACTCACGGTTTCGCCACGGCGATTTTGCATTATCGAGTGTCAAGGTTTACAGTTCCTACACAAGTTTTCACTGCTTTTGACAAAAAAAAGTTCCTTTTCGTTTTTTGTTTTTTGTTTTTTTTGTTTAGTGTACTTTTCTTTCCCCCCCCTAAAAAAAGTTTCATTTACTGCAAAGCCCGTGAGCTTTTGCACGACATAACATGCCGACCTCCGACCTCCGACCTCCGCAAAGGTTGTTGCATTCTTGCGTTCCCCGATAAAAGTTCTCCGCACTTTCGAATTCCCGAACGAAAAGTTACCAAAGCGTGAAAAAATTGCATCGCAGTGATTACGCCGATTCGAACAATTCTTCGCCGCCAGTTGAAAACATGTCTCGCATGTGAGGCAAATTCAGACAAGCAGCACCGGAAAAAAAAAAAAAAAAACGAAAAAAAAAAAGAGGTACCACAACAGGTCTTTCAAATCCTTAAAACTTGCTGGGTGAAAGATGAAACGGTTTTCACCTTTTAGCAGTAGCGAATGCAGATCCCAGGGCTCGATCCCTAGTTCTCACCTTACCTGTGTACAGTATCTGTGTCGACCCCAAGTGTTTGAACCCGTGACCCGTGTTTTGACAATTGTGGTTCTGTCGGAGGTCTGTGTGGTGGTAGGGGTTCGATCTGTAGGTCTGTCGAGTAGGAGTCACAGCCCTGTAGAGGTCGTAGCTGTAGGGACCCTGAAAGGTCAAGGTCGTAGCTGCTACAGTCCTGAGAGTTCAAGGTCGTAGCTGCTACAGTCCTGAGAGTTCAAGGTCGTAGCTGCTACAGTCCTGAGAGGTCAAGGTCGTAGCTGCTACAGTACTCGAAAGGCCAAGTCCACAAACTTCCGGGAGGTCCGGAAGTGGCCTTCCGAAGCTGCTCACGTTTGAGACAGAGGCAAGTGGGCAAGTGGTGGAGTCTATCCGTGCTGAGTCAGCAGTCCCAGTCCCAGTCAGTCCTAGTCCAGTCCAGCAAGTACCGTATGGGACTGTGTGCACCACGGGCATGGGAAAGGGCCAGACCAACGAGCTACAGAAGTATAAATTGAGAGGCAGTGGCCAGCCATTCATTCATTTCCTGCGTGAGCCATGCAGAAGCGCTGCCATAGCGGCTTGTGCGAGGTGGTCTGCAGTGAGCCCGAGGACGAAGTGGGCGAGAAGAAGCTTAGCCATAGCGATAGGGTAGCAGCGGCCATAGCCGCCATAGCTGTAGATGTGTGCGGGTGTGTGTGAGTGTACAGAGGGTGATGTGTGTGGGATATCCAGGGTGATCCTGTGTGCGAACAGCAGTGTCGAGTGAGTGACGAACAGAGAGTTGTACAGGCGATGTGCCGCCATAGCCAGTTGAAGTGAACTTGTATCTCAGCTGCGTTCTGAGTGGGCGCTTGACGCCAGTTTGCTGCGCAACCTGTTTGCATGCATCTGAAGTGTGAATGAAAGCGAGTCTGATTGCAAAGAGAAGTAATCATTGCAGCTGAAGTATTTCTTTCAGGAATCACCAGACTAGTTCATTTCGAATGTACCTGGCCATCCACACCGTCATCATACAGATCAGAGCATGGATCAGGCATCCGGCCGTCTTCCTTCGGCATGTGCACTCTCAAAGCGGGCCGGTTTGGAGATTTCCAAACCTAACCGATGCGGTCCAATAATCTTGCTCCTTGCTTCCAAAATGCCATAAAAGCCTATTAAAAGGGGGGGGGAAACGGTTTTAAAAAAACACAAAAAGGGCCAAAAGGAGGAGAAATGAAAAGAGCAAAAGAAACGAAAATATTGGCCCTTGCAACGAGGTGATGAGTGCTGCGAAATGCGACACTCAAGTGCGAATTGCGGGGGCGGGTAAAATAAAAAAAAATAAAAAATTTAAAAAAGAGTGAAAGAGATATCAGCAACTTCTAATTGCGTCGCAGCATAAAAGGGTGTTTTTTCTTTGAGTGTGGGGGGGGGGGGGAAGAGAGAAGAAGACTGATGGAAAAATAGGAAAAAAAAGAGAATGGGCAAACTCACAATTTCAAAATCCGCGGCACAACTTTTTGTGCCACTTCCCCACCCCCCTGTAATGGTACAGATGTGTCCGCCATAGCCACAAGCTTCGACTGACACCTCAAGCTCCCTGCCTGCACGTAAGACAACCATAAATAATATTATTAATAATTTAATATATTAGTAACAAGTACTATAATATACTTTCAATTTCAAATACATGCATTTTCATGCGGAACTTTGTGTGCTACTTTTGTGCGTAATGTTTGCACAAAAAAATTGTTTATAATTTGTGTGCGATTTGTGAGACTGTAAGATAGGAAATTCCCCGAAACCAAGTCCATATAAAATCTAGAATCTAAATTATTATTGACAACAGCACACAACCATGGCTCAGGTCTCTGTGCCCTCCAGCACTGCCCTTGTGGATGGGACGCAGGTTAACACACAAGTAGACCACTGGTTAAGTTGGGGTTAACACAGGCAGAGGCAACAACCGGGAAGCGCCCACACATACATAGTTCCAATCATCATCTGCATTACAATGTACTTCTCATACCCCCTTCCTTCCCACCTCCTCCCATTCATTGCTCCTTGCTGCACATGACCTCTCTCTCTCTCTCTCTCTCTCTCTCTGTGTGTGTGGCGTTTCCTCATTCTCCTTCCACCTATTCCTCCATGCTGCACCATCAACATCCACGCCATGATGCAGCATCCGGGCCATGACTTCTCTCTCTCTCTCTCTCTCACCATCAACATCCACGCCATGATGCAGCATCCGGGCCATGACTTCTCTCTCTCTCTCTCTCTCTCTCTCTCTCTCTCTCTCTCTGTGTGTGTGTGTGTGTGTGTGTGTGGCACGCGGAAGGGGGAGTGCATGCACCTGCCTTCTCTCTCTAGCATTGCCTCCATTTTCAGTTGGATAGTACACAAGCGTGCACCTCCGAAAACAATCTTGCAGCCTTGATAATGACATGACCATGAATGTATAAGAGCTTTCTTCCTGGTCAGGTACAGTCATGAGGAGGCCTGATCATCTATGTATACAGCCGATCTTCCGGGTCTCATACAGTCACAATGCGCGTGCATTGTGTTCAGGCCCAGACGGTCATAGCTTGGATTCCTCCCCAGTGACCGAAGATATGGAAGATCAACCGCCAGACTACTCGGGTTTACGCAAATACGAAAAGACGAAGACGGTTCGCTCGCAGTGACATCTTCCCCAAAACATAAGATACCCTAATCATAAATGTATACACGCAATCTTTCCAGACCGATACAGGCATAAGGAAAGGGCCCTGGATTGTGCTCATGGGTACTGGAGTGGTAACTTGTAGTAACGTCACCCGAATAGAACGGCCGGTCATTATCAGCCCCTGTATCTGGACTGAAAGTGGGCCAAATACGGCTGTAATAACCGAGAGTTCTATTCAGGTGAAGACCGTAGGCCGAAGGGTGGACGTGTTATTCAGGAGAGGTTCGCAGCAACCGACTCGCCTAACCTCTGCCCTCCCAAACACAACACACTCTGATTATTGATGTATACAAGCTAGCTTTCTGGTCACACACAGTCCACCCAAGAGCCTGTTGTGCTCAGGGTAAGGCGGGTTCACTTTATTTTTTAGGTCGTTGATCAAATAGGGGGCGAGGTCCCACTAGCACAGAGGATTAGATCTAACGCCCGAATATAGACTCGTGTGAGGACAGATACAGAAAACCGTGATTGATCAGCTTTTCTGCATCTCCGCCAAGAACCTATCCAGATTCAGGTTCCTAGTTCGATCCACATTGCTGGTGGGACGTGTTCTGACAAATGCCCCGGACCCGATGGTTTTCCTGCGGAATTTTTTAACAAGTTCTGGCCCCTGTTGGGACCGGACCTATCCAGAGTTTTCAATAACGTCTTGGACGGTCACCGACTGGGTAGTCGCACCACCGAAGGCGTGATCACCTTGTTATATAAGAAGGGCGATAGATCAGACGTAAGGAACTACCGCCCTATATCTCTACTTAACGTGGCAGGAAAAATATTAGCAAAAAACATGGCTAGACGTCTCTCCCCGTTCATGACCAGGCTAGTCGCTCCCGAACAGTCTGGTTTTGTCCCAGGGAGACTGGTTCTAGACAACATTATGGTAATTGCACAAGCTATCGCCTTATAATTAAATCGACTAACTCAAACACAGCTATTGTCTTAATTGATCTTGAAAAGGCTTACGACCGGGTAAACTGGAAATTTGTTCACGCGGTACTAGAACAGGTGGGTCTAGGCCGTAATTTCCAAAGATGGGTTAATGTCCTCTACCATGGCTCCCATGGGAGAGTGGTGGTTAACGGCTTCATTTCTAACCCCTTCAGAATTTCACGTTCACTCAGACAAGGATGCCCCCTTGCACCGTCCTTATTCGTTGTTCAAATGGAAATTCTTATAAATATGATTAAATCACACCCGCATTACAAAGGCCTGAGGATATCACAGCAGTATGAGTTCAAAGTTTCGGCGTTAGCAGATGACTTCTCTGCAGTCTCAGAGAATTCGGTCACCCAACGACTCCCCCCTGACCAAGGATCTGGGTATCCAGTCTAAAGCCAGTGCGGACTCAGAAAGGTACCTGGGCATACTAATCTCATTTGGAGACTGCGTTGATGAACAATCCAGCATTATCGAGAACCGCATAAGGGACGCCTGTTCCAAAAGATCTAGAAGTTGCCACCTCTCTCTTTTAGGAAGAGCATTGGTGTATTTTATCCTTCAGACATCTCCCAACCTCTTCTGCACAATTAATCAAACAGCTACTTACTAAATACCTGTGGAAAGGAGACTCTAATGTCCCCTCCTGCATTAGCAAAGTTGCATGGTGGAAAATAACAGAGAAGAGAAACCAGGGAGGACTGGGCATACTCGACCCAGAGAAACAACATGACGCTTTGCTATCTAAATGGCCGGTTCGACTGCTCACATCGCCCAATATTCAACCATGGATGTTATTAGCCCAGGCCATTCTGGCACGAGACTGGGGACTGAAAGACCCTCGAGCAGTATGGCAGGCTTTACTCATGCACTCATTTGTCACATCCACAAAGGTTAGCACTTGGCAACCTATTCTAAAAGCCTGGAGTAGAATACTCCCATATACATTATCCAAGCCAGCTAACAGAAACAAGATATTGGACTCTTGCCTGTTTGAGAACCCACTGATTACTAATCCTTCAAACCTTTCGGTTACGAAAAAAACAGGCAACTTTGGCCGAAAATGGATGCAAAGAGGAATTTGGCTAATTCGCCACATAACGGACAAGAACACTGGAGACGGGATCCCACTAGAGGACATCAAACTCAAGTTGAGAGGCTTGCGTAACATTGAAGAACATAGAACACAGTTGTTGAATGCTATTCCTCAGGACTGGACAGCAACAGCTAGAAGCCCTCCACAAGGGAAAAGCCAGGGATCATGGTGAATTAAGAGAAGGAACCAATCCAGTTTCTTCCTAGTTGAGTCTGCTACAGTTCAATCAATTGAGGCCTCAGTGTGGAAGCCCTGGAAGAAACACCTCATCAGAACCCAGGAGAAGGTTATTCTGCAGGTGGACGAAGATTGGCAAGAGATCGCTATTCTCCCGAAGGAGCACAAAGGTACCAAGAAATTCACCGCAATCATGGGCAGTCAACCTCGGGAGGAATGGAAGATTGATGTTCAGAAAGTAGGCTGGATTCGCTCAAACGAATCGGCTCTGTCTTCTGGGATTCCGATCTCAGACCACTGATCACAGACAGGTTATAATCTGAGGACCAATGCTACCTCCCTGAAAATGAACATCTTGACCTCATGGAAAAAGAAGAATACGATTTCCCCACTCCACGTACTCACCATCGATTGGGTCACATCCTTCATAACACTGGTAACGAGTACCATGGAAGCGAAACCGAGCGGCCTTCAATGCCTACATCTCCACTCTTGTGTACCTACTGCTGCCTGGTGTTCTGGAAAAGGCATGGAAATCAACCCCTTCTGCGATGCCTGCCCCCAGGAGTCACTGGAGGACATGTCACATCTCTGGTGGGAATGTGTAGTCGCCAGGGGCTTCTGGGAGTGGCTTAGCGGGATGTGGTGCTTTGCGTACGGTCCGGAGACGGTCTGGACAAAAGAGTTCATTATGATAGGGAGCTCTGCAAAGGATCCCAAGATGATAATAGCCAACAAGTTTCGAGTTGCAGGTTTTTGGATACTGTGGCTCGCCAGAAGAGAGAGACGGTTTGAAGGAGTACAACGGTGCCAATCAACAGTCAGGAACAAGTTCAAATTTGTGATACGGAATCGCATTGCGGCTGAATGGAGGAAAGCCAGGCTTTCCAGCACTCCAGCTCAGAGGATGAGAACCAGTATGGAAACTGCTTGGGGTAAACCATTCAGATGGATTACCTTCTCAGACAGTGACAGACTGACCATTTCCAAACATCTGTGGGATGAAGCCACAGAGCTTGTCCTGTAGCTTTGTCCCTTTCTCCAACTACCAGTTGTAGTCTTGTGAAGACATGGGTATGGGCCAGGCCCTTATGGACAGTGAAGGGACGTTGGAGCCGGTTTTCAGCTAGCTACTAAACCTCTCTAAATAGATCTGGTTGGTAATGTTTTCTTGTCCAGCTTTAATTTCAATTTTCGTGTTGAAATTTTCGTGAAGGCATACCTTATAGGCTAGGGCCTGAGGGACAGATAAGGGACGCTGGACCCGCTTTCCAGCTTTGGCTGTTCTGGGTACTGCCCCCAGAGCCCCGGGTTGAGTTGTGGAGGGATTCCCGGCCTCCGATTGTTGTCTATTCCTATAATGAATGCCTATTCAATCAAAAGAAAAAAGGGAAAATTTTCGAAATACCCCTGAAGTTTGCGTTTGCAGCGAACCCCTCTGACGGCCGACTTCCCTGTTATGCCCCTCGGGCCTCTGAACTTTTCCGCAGGCCCCTGTCAGCATGGGGCACAACTTTCCAATATGCCCTTACTGGACCGCCGGTGGCGTTTCGTCAGTCAGTCCTTGAAATGCCCTCACGAGGGGCACTGATCTTTCTGTGATGCCCTTCCACCACTGGCGGCCGAAATTCGAATTCGAAGTGGTGTGTACTTCGCGCGCCGCGACGAAA